TTAGGAAAGTATTAGACCCACATGTGACTGTTCTGAAATTTATTGTAATTTTATGAAATTTAGGACTGATATTTAAGTAAAGAAATTTCATATTGCTAGTTTCAATTTTTAACCTCTTATATAAAGCTAAAAAAAATTTAATGACAATATTATAATTTAAATTACGAAGTTTAAAATTTTTACTATTTTTTAACTCCGTATTTAAAAGTGCTACATAAAATTTTTTACAGAAGATTGCATAATTATTGTTAGCTTAATTGATATATATAATTAACTAATTAAATATATTTATCCTACAATGTTTTGATAAGTTGTTATTGCCAAAATTAAGAAGAAAAAATAATAATAAATAACATAAGAAAATTCGAAAGAAAGTCTTCCATCCTAACTCATTTTAAAGAAAGAGAATGAAATAAAAACTGTTTTCAACCACAACAGAAGACCCCAAGGCTATTTAACCCCTCAACTATTCAAAGAAAGTAAAGAGGCTTTTCTCCTAACCCCCCAAAAGATCTCCCCACTAGAACTTTTACTCGTATTGGTAAATGAAGGGAGGACAGATGGGAGGCGTGGTTTAGGCTCTTTTCCCAATTTTTTTAAGAATTTTTTCATCTTTCTTTCCTAATAACACATTTCATAATTGAAGAAAATAATTACTAGTTATTTCTTCTGGTAGCTTGAAATGTATAGTTCGAGTAAGTGAACTCAAAAATAAGGATTTACTAAATGAATTTTGATAAAAAACGGATTTCAAGAAGATGTCTCTATTACCGATATTTAAACTCCATTAATAATTTAAAATTTATGGTAAAACAAAAAGAGATTTCATAAAACCTTAGAGTAAACTATGAAGTTTCAAATGCTGAAAGAATTTTTCCAAAATATCAAAATGCAAAAAAGTTATTAGCAAATGAAGCTCCCATAGAAAAAGCATTAGCAGCTGGCATTGAGAGGGTAGGTATTGCGTCCTCTTAAGCTCACAAGAATTAGAGTTTAAACAAGTTAAATTATATTATTNAAAATATCAAAATGCAAAAAAGTTATTAGCAAATGAAGCTCCCATAGAAAAAGCATTAGCAGCTGGCATTGAGAGGGTAGGTATTGCGTCCTCTTAAGCTCACAAGAATTAAAGTTTAAACAAGTTAAATTATATTATTCATTGTAATTTTAGAGTAAATTTATACTTTTATCCATTGTCAAAAATTAACATAAAATTATTGGAAGAAATTTTTATTAAATACCATAAAAAAATTAGGCATTTTTTTCTAAACAAAAGAGCTAATTTTGAGCATTCATGCCCAAGACTTCCTAGATTATTTTTTCAAAAACATTCCACTTTAAAAGGACAATGGCTTTTCATAATTATGATAAATATGAAAGATTTTGTGCTGTAACAAACTGTAATTTAAACAAAGTGTTACAGATGGAAAATTGCTTATAATTAAGAATAATTAACTGTGATCATATTTAATAAGTGAGAAATTTTTGTATTTTCTTAAAAATCGGTCCATTTGTGGATTAAAATGTTTCAGTTTAATCAATGCTTTATGAATGTACTTGCAAACAGAAAAATATTTCACACATAGCAACAAAAAAATTAGACTAATGTATATTTGATTTATGTCAAACATATATTTGTTTAGTTCCAACTTAAACTATTTTTACATCTCTATGACAAAATAATAATAATCTCAGTATAATAAAATTTAGCACCTATTTCTGTTAGTTATAATTCAGACACAGAATTGTAGTTTTTATTTATTAATGTATAATTTTAAGTTAATGTTTATTGAATTTTCTAGCAGTAATAAAGTGTTATTAACTATCGAAAGAAATTGTTTATTTATTCATGTACAGGGTATCTGGCCACCTGTAAAGTCATGGATTTAGGTGTTGAAGAAAATGTGTCATTAAATGTCATGATTTTAACCATTTTTAAAAAAAAAAAATCGTGGAAAGTCATGAATTTAGGTTGCCGAAAAATCTAATCTTTAAAATGGAATTTACAATTTCACGGTGTTTCGAATATAACTTTTCTGATTTCAAATTTTTTTCGTATATTTATTTTTTTATTTTATCAATTTAAAATTCTAGTTTAGGCTTTTTATATTACTCTTACTTTTAAGAAGCAATAAAACAGGTTTAAATAACTACATATATCTGACTGTATTTAGTTATATGCTTTTGTATTTTTTAGCTATTTTATAGCTTCAACTCTTTTTTTGACTCTGTTTTTTAAATTTTAAATCTATAAATTTGAAGATACAGAGTATAACAATTTTGGTTATACCTATCATTTCAATTACAGCTATTATAATGCTTTTTTAAATTTATTGTTGTGTTTTTGTCGGAGAAAATAGTAACTGTAAGTCGTGAAAAATTCATGGATTTCAAAATCTAAAACGTAGCAGATACCCTGCATGTATTTTACAAACTGTTAATGATTTAGAGTTGTCTAAAAGTGTTAAAAATGACTAATATAAATCAATTTTCAACAGAATATTGTTCACGATGTAGTATCAGGAATGGGTGGTGAAATTGGAAGAAATGCAACTGTAATGTCAAGAGCTTCAGTATGTATTATATGTTTATTTTTGTATGCCTTGCAGTTGATACATGTATAACTTTGTTTTCACTGTTTCAATTTTAATTTACAGGATGATGGAACAGTTGATGTACATATTAATTTAGGCAGAATGCCAGTATCAGTACCCATGCACAGTGAAGCTCAACTTAGAATGAACAGGGTTCAAACAATGCTGATACGTGCTAATCATCTGATGGACACATTAGAGGTAAATTCAAAATCTTAAAGTTGGTATTTATGGAGATCATTTAATTTTTAATAAAATTTTAATTGAAATCAAGCAATAAGAAAAGTAGTTAAGTCTTTCTGATATTAACCTAATGACTAACTAAAATCTAATGTGTTTACCCATTGCAAAATAGCACATTTTAGTCAGCCAACATGTTAGCAACTGCAGTCTTAATCTGTATATTCTTATTGAAGGGGCATAATTTATCTCTTTGTTGCTTAAAGAATAATGATATCTAAAAATTGGTTAATGTTTAGAAGCGAATAGTTTTATATGTTTATTGTTTTGTGATATTTGTGGAGGTGTGGCTAGCTGTATAAGCTTATGGATTAACTATGAGAATAGTCATATAAATGTTAGCATTTAGAAATTGATAGTAAATATTTTTTTTTACTATCTAAATTAAGTTATTTATTATTGTGTCAATCTTAAAGCCCCTCAAAGAGTTATCTTATTGACGAGCACAAATTTCGTTACCCGGAAGTGCTCAATTAACTTTTTCCTCTCTTTCATTTGGTTCATTGCTGTTATTGAACCATTTATTTTTAATGTGCATCTTTTTTTTTTTTTTTTTTCTTTTTTGTTACTCTTAGTGCATTTGCTTTCTTCTATTTCTTAAGTTTAACAAAATAACTGCATTCAGAATACAAAAAGTTTGAAAAAAGAAAATAAAAGAAGTTCATTCCTGAGGCAGAATATTATTTTTCATGCTAAAAGTGTTTATTACTAAAGTAAAATATATACCGATTAGATCCCCACCTAAATTTTAAGGAAAATCGCAATTGGGGGAAGGATAAATGTTAACAAGGGAAAAATGAGAAAAATTTAACATATTTAATAAAATGGAAATATTATTAGACTTAATTAACTGTGAAATAAATTAAATTAAAATTAAGTAATAAAAAATAAAATAAAAAATTTTCAAATTATTATGATTACATCGTTAAAAGCAATTGGCAAGAACGTGTAAAAATTCTTTTATAATTGTTTTTTCTTTAATGCTAAGAACGAAAGATTTAACTTAAATATATTTATTTAAAAATATTTTTAGTCGGAAAAGCTTTCAAATCTTGCAAATACAAATCCCACTGATTGATTTTAAAATTGTGTCAATACAAATCACACTGTTTGATTTTTAAATTGCGCGATTACAAATTGCAATTTATTGCTTAGAAATCACAGAATCGATTTTTGGTATTATAGTCATGTGAATATGAATTGTGGTATTGGATTTTAAAAATACATGAAAAAAATCATGAAATGTAGTTATTTAACCAGGTAAATATGAATCACGACATTTAATGTTTAAATTGCGATGAAATATCTGAAAAATTTAAGGATTTCTGTGGGGGCTTAATCAGTTATGACTGCAGATCAATATTGGTATGAAACTATAAGTGGGAATTTCGTTCAGTATTTTGCTTTAACTGGACCTAAAGACCTATGAGGAACAGTTTTTTTTCTTTTACTTTCTAAAATCTATAAAAACTAAACAGGATCGGCTTTAAAATTATAAATTTATGAATATTGAGGCTATTTTAGATTTTTTAATAATACCAGGGCTGATTGTGCTCCGGATAAAAACCGGATTTTTCGCTAACCGTGATCCGGAGATCGAAGATCCAGACGTTTCAAAAAATCCTTGATCACGAAAGTTTCTAGAAATCAAATTTTCAAAGGTGGAACTTAAAAACACAGTTTATTTTATTTGTTTGTAAGGGAGAGCCCGAGAGATACTTTATAAGCTTATATTCAAGATTAATATTCATTTTTTATCAGTAAATAGTTATTATAATCATAAACTCATGAAAGAAAGACATATATGTAAATTTCAATTACTTCTCCAGGTCATCATAGGTATGTGTAAATTTTAAATATATTTTAAGTAAACTAAGAAATATTGAGAAAAAGGAAAAAATCTTGTTTAAATTTTTTTCGACTTAACTTTTTTTTTAACTCAAGAAATTTTCCGGAATTTTGTCTTGGACTCACAATCACCCCTGTAATACTTATTTAGTTGTCATTTACTATTGATCTTATGAAAAAGTTTTATCAATTAAACTAAGGTTTCTATGGTCTGTTTTTCTTTCTAAATCTTTACGTTAATAGTTTTATTATTAGGCAGTAATAGAATCTTTTTTATTTGGAAGTTAGTTTCTAATATTCCCTTTTTCGAAAATAGTTTGAACATTTTTCAAGGGCTGTACTTTCGGATATGTAGATCTATTATTGATATGATGTATCAATCCGTTTGTTAATAGTTTTATTATTTATATAGTAATATAAAATCTAGTATTCTTTCATTTAAATTTTATGACTAATATTCCCTTATTCAAAGGTAGTTTGAACATTTACCCAAATGCTATTGTTTCTGACCTGTAAATCTATTAGAGTTATGATATATTAATCCTCTTATCAAAAGTTTTCAAACTTACTGTAAAGTATTATTATGTTGTGAAAGATTTAATACTTTTTGTCCTATGAAAAAACATTTAATCAAAAATATCATTATTTAAAAAAGTTGTTCCACACAAATTATTTCTTTAATCATTATTCCAATGCTTTATTTTTTTATGCTGTTTCTGCTTTTCCTCTTTCTTCATTTTTACTATCTCATTCCTGCAAATCTTAATTTCGCACATTTATTACGTTAAACGCTATTTTCAGTTTAGCTATGTATAACAATATTGAATGTAAGATAATTAAATAATTAATCTACTAATAATTTTATTAATTATTTTTTTTTTCTTTCAAAATAGGATGGAGCAAACTCAACCAATGGAAATGTTGCTGACTCTTCCTCACAAACAGAAACTAGTGAACCTGAAAACACTGCAATGGAATCTGAGACAAGTAATCCTGGAAATCCTTTAAATGATTCAGTTTTTGAGAATATGGATTCTGCATCTGCTCCAGTTAGTGCTGAAGTTAACACAGAGGTAGATTATTAAACTTTGTTCTTTAAGGCTGTGAGCGTTCTATAATATATATATATCAAACTGTACATACAACATCTGTGTGCAGTTTGATTTTTTTTATTTTTTTTTTAAATCTCTTAAGTTGCTTTTGAATGTGGAGGCAAATTAACTTTTAATTGGCTTATTATTTAATTTGACATTTTGAATGTTTTAAGAGTTCATTCTTATTTTAAATCCGCTTTGAAAATTAATTTTATTTTCAATGTTATAATTACTTAATTACTACTACTTAATAATAAGTTATTCTACTTAATTACTTAATTATTTAACTTAAATGGGGGGCTTTTTTTCGACCATTTTAAAATAGCTAAACAGTATTATTTTTTTCTCCTCTTTTTTTAAATTTTAAAGACTATTTGTCTTCTTAAAAATTCATGTTTTTATTCTGTACCATTATTGTTAAAGTTTATTTTACAATAATTTAAAAAAAATGTGAATTGTGTGTGTTTTCTTATAATTAGTATTATTATTTTCTATGTTATTAGTTGTATAATCGTATTCTGAATAGAAAAATCTTTGACTCTCTTAACTTTTATGAATTTTTTCTAGTTATAGTTTTTGTTAATAATGTGTTATATTAAAAATCTTTTGTTAAAAGTTAGAAATAGAATTTTAATAGTTATTTTATAGTATTATTGTATTAATTAACGGTTTTTAAATTATACAATTCTTTTATTCGAAATTTTTCAGATAAATGTGGACGTTCCAAATGAAATATCAATCAACCGAGAGACTTTCCGGTTTGAAGGTCTTGCCCAGGCTGCTCAAGCAGCAATTTCTGCTGCTTTTGCCACTGCTGCAGCCGCTGCCAGAGCAGCTGCAACTAGTGTAGGGAGTCCTGTTGTAAATAATGGTTTGTATTTTTATCTTTTAAAAAATTGAAGTGTCATGTATTCAATTACTTTTGAATTTTATTTATTGTATACTTGTTCGAATAAATTTTTGACTCTCTGAAGAATATGTTAATGAACTTTCTATAAATTTGCTGAACATAATATTTATCTCTCAGTTAGAGTTTTTTTTTTTTTTTGTGCTGCCAAAACACATTTTGTCTAGTCAAAATAAGGCTCATAAATGTTATATTATTCATTATCGGAGTGGCGTCACAATTATAGTGTTTAGTGGAAGAAAGTTATAAATTACATTTTTGAGAAAAATTCCATGCAACAGAGAAATGTCCTATTTTTGTATTTAACTATGCAACTTTTTTTATTTTAAGTTTTTCAGAGTGCAAAAAAAGAAGAAAAAACTTGAATTTTTTACACACATTTTAATAAATTTAGAACCAATTTTAGAATCTGAATTAAATGGTTTGATGATAATTTGCTTCATTTTGTATTTATTGGAAGATTTATTTATTTATTTTTAACTCTGCAAATGAAAAGCATGATTTTTAAGATCAATAAAAATGATGGAATTGTGGTTGAAAAAATAATTAAACCAAACTTTTCAAGTTGTCAATTATATCATCAATTTAAGTGATTACTGTCAGGAATTGTGAATTTTTTTTCATTATTGAAAAAAGTATTTATTTATGTGTTTTGCAGTTCCCTTAAATGCTTTGGGAATATCTTGAAAACAAAATCAGTTGTTAAAGTTAATAAATTCAGGAAAGTTAATTCAAATCCAACCTACATTTATTTAGTTAAATTAATTCTGAAAAAAAAAATTCTTTCTGTGCAAAAAAAAAATCATATGTTGTACAGATACTTCAATTAGCATTTAAATGATTGTATATATCTACAAATATATCTGAGAAATGTGATTTTCAACTATTTCAGCACATTAATTTTTGCATTATTTACTATTCTTCAGTGTAATATTTTTTTCTGTTTATATTAAATCTTTAAATAATCAATTTAGTGCCCCTTGACTTGCGAACTGTCTCGGCGGAACCAATGGAGGAATCTTCAACTGAAACTCCTGCCTCAGACTTCATGGATGCAATTCCATCTGAAGAGTTTGCTGTGGATTCAGAGCCTTCTAGTTCAGAACCAGTTTCTGTAAAACCAGAACCTAAACCTGATGCTGCAACTTCCAGTCAGACTCCTTTTAGTCAGCCCATGCCTTCAAATTCTGCATCTGGATCAACATCTGCAACAACATCAATTCCTCAGCGATCTCGTAGACCTGTGTAAGTTTTTATCATTTATTGCTAAAGCTCTTCTCCATTTTAAATTACTGGGGAGCCTCATTTGCTGTGTTTCAGGTTGCAAAAAAGCTATCATTTTCTAAAAAATGTCGAGTCGGCTGGTTATTATTTAAAAGTCCCTCTTTAATTTAAAAAACTGGTCTTGATTGGCTTTTAAATATTTAAAATGAATAAATTAGTATACATGCATTTAACTTAATTTTAATAATCTCTATTTAGTATAATACATGTAAAATATGTTAGATTAATTTTGCTTTTTTCTTAACCATTTATTTCATAAATAGATAAAATGCTATTGATGTAATTGCTGCTCCATATTCGCTTCAAAACCAGGCATTTTTCTGAAATTATCTAAACCTTTTCAAACATTTTTTAATTCATTCTAACTTTGCTTTAAACTGATTCATAATAATTATCTTTTTTAATCATACTAAATCTTTAAATAAATTAGACTTATATACTTATTATTAGATATATACTTATGCTGCATTAAATAAGTTGATTTCTAATTGTAGCTCTTAACTAGTTTATTGCTCTTAACTCTTCCGAGGTAAGAGCTGTTGCTTCAAACTGTTTTGAAAGTGCCAAGTTACTGGTCCAAATTTTTCCTAACACAGCCATTTCAATGTAGTAATTAAGTGACATTTTTATATATTTTTTGGGTAATTAAAGTTTTTGAGAAGTATTGGTTCTAATAAAAGCCGGCTTTTTAATTTTAGCCTGTCTCTTTAAAAAAAAAAAAAAAACAGCTTTTTTTGGCCTGGCTAAAATACATAGTTTCCTCTAAAAATAATTACAGTCTTTTTTTTATTTTATTGTTTTTTTAGGCAACCAAGTGTTCAAACACTAGCTAATTTATTGGATGAAGTAATACGATTTAATTCAAGGTTGCAACCTAGTTTAGAAAGAGTTAGAGATTTGCTAAGAACTGATGCACCTCTTTCTGGAAGGGTAAGTTTAATTGAAGTTCAATTTTATTCCATGTAAGAAAATTTTGTTTTTGTGCATTTAGGTCTTATTGCTTCACTTTGAAATCATTTGCTTACTGATTTGTTTTTTATTATCTTGTTGAACCAATTGGGTTCATAATATTAAAATATGGTGTTGATTTTGAAAATAAAACCATACAGGTATAATATAAAACTATTTTTTTATGAAAAAAGCCATATGGTTCATATGGCTTTTTCATAAAAATAGTTTTTAAATTTATCATTTCATAAAGATAATGATCAAGCTCCATCAATTTTGAGTGTGTTCAAAATTGCTTACAAAAAGTCATTCTCAATTTAATATTTGGAAAGTCATTTTGCAACCATAAGTATCGTAAATTTGTCAGCGCTTCTCAATTTGTATGCAATCTAACCATATTGTTTAATTTATGAACAATTTGTGTTAAACTAGTTAAAAAAAAATTTAAATTCTGTAAATTTCAGTCTTTAATTTATTTGTGGCTCCCATTACTGCATATTGAACACATGTTTCACCTCTATATAATATAGGTATGCTTAAAAATTTTATAAATATGTGTTCAATCAACTTCATTATAAAATAAGTTTTGTACAAATAAACTAAATTATTTTATTTTAATTCAACGCACTGTTGTTAATTTTTTAGGAAAATTATTGATTTGACGGCTGTCTTTTTAAACACCCACATCTATACAAATCTAAAACTTAAATCTTAATTATCTAAAGAAAGATAATTATTTTGACTCTTGTTAATAGAATTTTTCTTTCATTACAGCCATGTGCTGATGCTCAGCGATTATTCAGCAGAATCTCACAGATGCTTCACTTCCTGAGCCATGCTTATCATTCTCTTAGTGATTTGCACGTGAATTTCACCCATGCACCACCACGCAGTCCAAGAGTGAGAATTATTTCATCAGCACAGGGTTCCATTTTACAAGGCCTCCCTATGCAGGTAACATTAATCATGTGGAACTTGAGTTATTAAATTGTGGTTTTATTTAAAACCATTAAGAGGACTCTATACCTCGGAAGAAACTTTTTATCTCAAATTCTCTTTCATCTTCATTGGTAGTTCAAAATTTAGAGTACAGAAAAAGGGATTTTAGGCAAACCTAGAGTAAATCAGGTTTCAAATGTTGACAAAATGTTTTAAAAATATCAGTATGCGAGCAAATTAGTGGAGAACTTCCCCTCAGCATAATCCTAAGTAATCATCTCATAATTGGTTTGCATTGGGTATTTTAAAAAAAAGTTTCTGCATTTTAAATTTAATGGCTTACTTTAAGTTTGCCTGAACCTGTTTTTCCTATACTTTAAATTACTTATGAAGAGGATGGCAAGGGATTTTGCCCATGGTTCTCTTAATTTTTTAACTTTAATTGCTCATATATTAAAAATGGAATAACTTTTTCACTTGCAGTATTACCTAATTCATATATACAAGCATATTTATGTAATAAAAAAATAAACTAACAGGTAATTGTATTAATTTTTAGTCTGAAATCTCTTTCTTTCTCCATTTAGAATGAAAAGCTTGTTTACAAATAAGAGTTTAATTTCTTGTAAAAGAACTATTTTTAGATTAAACCTTTAAAAAATTTTAATAGTTATTTTAAAAGTTTTTCCCTTCAGGCTGTATTGACTATAATATTTATTTTTCTTCCTTCATTGTGTGATTATGACATAATTAGGGATCTTACAAAATTTTCTTTAAATAATTCCTAGTATTATAAATTAAACTTTCTAGATTTTTGGCAGGATTTACTATTCTCCAACAGAGAAACGATAAGATAAAGTATTATGATTTCACCTTTTTGTCTTTTTCCTTATGTTTTTCGGCTACAAAAGTTATTAGATATTAATATATATATGTATTATGCTTTTTACTAGCATTTTATTTTAAATTTTTTAGGCACAAATCAGCATTTCCACCTCAAGTGGTCCGTCATCGACTTCAAATACGACCACTACCAGTAATAATGCAACTAATGAAAGTGCTCCAAGTTCTAATTCAGAAGTAAGTGAAGGATTCTTGTTTCCTTATTGCCAATTACATTAATTTTTCTTCTTATTCTTAAGTAATTCATTTTTAATCTATTTATTCGTATAACATAAGTTCAAACATTTAGTTTAAATTTACAGTCCAAGAATTTTTTTTATAAATTTTAAAATAGAATATTCTTACAATAAAAAATTAGCTGTAGTTATAAAAATCAAAAATCCTATAATTATTTTTGCTTTTGTTAACTGTGCCTTTTATTATTCTTACAATTCTTTAAGATCATGAAGAATCTAATCAAGGGTGTCTCAATTTTCACTCAAGTAATTTTGTTTGTAAACATAATGCTTTTATGAATGAGTTATACTTTATAAATTATGAAAATTTTAGTTTACTTTTTTTAGTGATGTCTACTGTCCCAAAAGTATTTCCTGATTATTTTTTTTTAAATATATTGTCCTGATTTTTTTCTTTGGCTCACTAGGAAGTCTGTATTATGTCATTTTTAAAATGTATGCCATGTTTAAGTAAAATTCATAAATTTAATTTTGAAAAAAAAAAATTTTTTTTCCTCTTTGATATGCCAAAATAATTTTATTCCTGCAAACATTAGAGGTGGCATTTTTAAGTTATTTGACCAACAGTCTAGACCTAGTCTAAGTTATTTGACCAACAGTCTGAATTTTATAATTTTTTTCCTTTGCCTGCTATGTGTATGACATATATATATGATATGAATATATATATATGATATGAATATATATAAGATATGAATATATATATGACATGAAGTATATATATGACAGTTAATTTTTAATTTTTTGTTCTTACATTAGCAATTTTGTTAACTGTTACATCAGTCAATCTATTTTAAATTTATTTTATTTTGCTTCATATCAGTAAGTTGCTTTTTTTTTCCTCCTTTGATTTTACTCATTTATAATTATGTTATTTTAATTTTTTTTGAAGCATCGGTGCATTATAACGAGTAATTTTTTACTTAAGATAATCATTCTTTATTTTGACATACCTCTGTCATAAAGCAATGCGTCCTGGAGAGAGCGTTTACATTTATCCCATCAAGTTTTTATCATATTTTTAATTATTTTGTGTTTCTAACTAAATTTTTTATATATATTTGTGATAGAATAACTTAATCCACTTTAAATCAATGAAAAACAACAAAAAAGGAGAAGCAAAAAAGATAAGTAAACCTACTTAAAAGATGTTGAAACATTGCTAAAAACGAGTTTGAACTCACCTCTAATTGTAGTCTATTTCTGAATATTTGATTTAGACAGGATGCTTAACATTTTTAAAAAGCACTTAAAGGTGCTTATTTTTTTAAAAGCCCTTAAAGGTGCTTTTTTTGCTGGATTTGAAAATGGTGCTTAATTTTTTATCTTTTAAAAAAAGATTTTTTCTTTACCACATCGATTGTCATTCTAAATTTTAAAAAATTTCGTGATTTTCACAATTTCCTCTGTATTATTTATCAGAAACTAGCTATTTTATCATGATTATGTAAAGTTTTTGAAAATGTTTTTGAATTTTATTGGTTTTATGTTTATTTATTTTTTTTCAATTTATTTATTATTATTTTTTTTGAAAGGGATTAAAAATATATTTTGAGTGCTCAAAGAGTACTTAAAAGGTGCTTTTTTTGTTGAAAAATCTAGCTATGTACCCTGTTACATATTCATTTGTCACTGCTATTTTCTTCTGCTTAAAATTAGAAATACTTTTAATGTTTCAGGTTAGACCCACTCCTCAAGTTACTACCCAGACTTCAACATCTACTGCTGACACTCCATCAATTGGAAGAGGACAAAATCCATTAGTTTTTATGGAAGTATCACCTACATTAACTATTGATAATATTGCATCAATGGTGACACCTCAACTCAGTAACGCTGGCTCATTTTTTAATATTGTTCCTGTACCTGAGGGACCTTTCTCAGCTTCTAGCTCTCCTAGGAATACATCTATTTCTAGTGCTGCTGCACAAATAAGAGGCATGGATATTTATTTTTTAATAAATGTTGTCTTTTTAACCTTTCAGAACATTGAAAAAGTGACACCTTTCTATGCGTGGGCTACAACTCAAAGAGGCAGTTTCTGATTTTAAGATAATCTTATGACTTATTTATTCTCTTACAGAAAACATCTTTGTGTTAAAAAAAAAGGAAATCTTAAATATTTATCATGATTTTTACTCGGACCAGATTTTGTATTAAATGGAAAAGTTTAGTTAAGCTTCGAAAAATATAACATACAAGCAATTTTTCTTGTTTGACCAAAAAGCTTCTAGTTAATACAAGTAAATTTTACAGTAATTTTAGATATTTACTTTAACTACCAAACTCAAAATGTTTAGATTTGGTGTCGGTAACCAACCAAACGGTCTGAATCTAAGTTCACTGAATTACTAATGATTTAATGAAAATTTTGATTCGTAAACATGAAACCCAATTTAAATAAATAAAATGAAAAATACATTAATTTTCAGTTGTATTTTGAATGCATCCAAAAACAAATTTTAATCTCTTCATTTAAAAGCTAGTCTTATTTTGTTTTTAAAAAAAATTCTAGGCAATGTACTACATTTACACCGTATTCTCTAAATGAGCATACCAAGTATATTTATACTGCTTGTTTGGCAGAATTTTGAAAACACATCAATATTTTTCAGTAAAACTCATTTAAAAATTTAAAGTTTAATAACCAAAGAGAAATAAACATAGTATTTATTTTAACTCCTAATTTCAAAATTTATCTTTATATAAAAATTCAGCTTCTAAAGAGTTATAATTATCTTCCTTTTTTTAGTGTTTTTTTCCTCTCTTTTTATTGTGTTATGATGCAAAAAAAGAGCTATTTGGCATTGTTTTTTTAAATTAAATTCTCTAGTTCTAATCCTTCATTGTTATGTAAGTCATTCATAATATAGTTATGAAGTGATAGTGCAATATAGTTATGAAGTGATATTGATAGTCTTTTCGTTTCCACAGCACTTGCGGAATCACGAAATGAAGCAAATACAGATTCCTCTAGAAGTGTGCCCAGAACTACTTCTTCAACTGCTGGAACTTCCTCTAATGGTCAGGCTCCTCCTCTAAACATTCCATTTCGCAGTTTGATTCCTGTGCCTCTTACATCGATGGGAAGCTTGCACACTTTTGATTCTGGTTTGCCCTGTCATTCCGTTTGGGCATTGGAACCATCTCGAAGACGACACAATGCTGGCGGATCTCGAACTCCCAGTGCTGTAAGTGAACATTTATATATATTCATTTATATTTATTATTCTGACCTACAAACTCTGAGGTTTTTTTTGTGTCCAATCTCAGAACATCAGGCCGGCAAAGTATTTTCTGAGACTTTTTTCATTGTAAGTGTATTAATGGGAGGACCCGCACATTGTTTCCATTCAGCCCTCAAAACTCCCCTCCATATCAGCGATTTCATATATCAAATGTATTTAGTTTATCGTTGATTCCTTTTTTAGAACGTGTAATATTTTGAAATATCTGAAGACTGATAAACCAAGAAAAGGTATTACATTACTTTTACACAATGCAGTAAAGAAAAAAACTGTACTAACAATTTTTAGGGGTAAAAAAGTTACTTATATGAATTTAATTTAAAGAATATGCAACTTATTTATTTATTTTTATTTTTAATATAATTGTTTTGTTTATTACGCTGTACCACATTCAAAGAAAAGTCTCATGCCTTTGGAATTTCTAATGTTAGCAGGTCTGTAAATAACTATATTAAAATCACAGTTATTGGAAGCCAAATAATAGAAAAAGTTTTCTCTGTTAGGATGAATATTAATTATTTTTTGTTGTTGAAATTTTTTATAACAAAAAATAAAACTAAAATTATTTTTTATTTTATTTTATGCATAACTTTAATGCACTTTTTCAATAGTTTTTTATATCTTTTAATATATCAAGCACTATTTTTCTCCCCTTGACAAAGATATAAACACAATTATTAATACATTATTTTAAACAAATTTGTTTTTCTTGTGAAAAGATTTTTTTAAGCTTCATTGACATGCTTAATTCTGTTGGTTTTAATTTCTAGTTTTACCTAAATTTTTAAACTACTTACTTCGTGTAAAAAAAATTCTTTGTACTTTTTTGTTTCTTCATTCCCCACCTCTTTTTGCTGTCAGTCAGTCAAAGTTTTGATATTTCTTTCAAATTAGTCCCCATTTCACAAACCAAAACCTATAAATGTATTTGTTCTGAATAACTTAAGCAATAAGTGATAATCTGCATAACCAGTCGGATCCATCATTACTATTGATTCTCTAACATTTTTCAAAACTCACTAAAAGTATTTAATTATTTCATCAACTGAAATCTGTGCCTTTTTTTTAAGTGGGTAGAAAAAGTCTGTCTTGATTGACAAATTGTCATGTTGTTCCCTCTAGAAAAAAAAAGTATTTTTTCCATTAAATTATTAAGCGTTCTGATTAATGAATGACCTATACTTATTTTTAGCACCAGCAGCCAGCTTTAACTCCTAATTTTCCTGGAAGACAAGAGGATCAATTGCAGCAAGTCATTAGCAATATTGTGATGTCATTATTAAACCACAGTCATAATCAAGCTCCTGGTAAAATGAATATATAATTGGATTTTATATTAAACTTTGACATTATTTAAATATGTATTTTTCATGTATCCATTTATTGTTTTTTTCAATTTCGAGCACTTAATTCAATTTATTGTTGTTTCAGTTAACTCAATATCTTTTTGATATGCTAGGAAAATGTACATGCTTTTAGATCATGTATGAAGAGACTAACTATACCTTACAATGGCGATTTTGAATTGATGAATGCTTGAATGATCTGTTTTTTATACCCCATGGTTACGACTGGATCAGAAAACCTAAAATTGTCAAAGAATTTTATTTTAAAGAAAAAAAGCTTGGGAATAATGTAATTTTTGGTCAAAACCTTGCATCAAACCTGCTAAAGCTTATTTTGAGATTCATGCTTACAATAAGTAGCCAATTAGATTCAAATTAAATAAGTTTAGCATTCATTTTTATTATTTCTTTTGAATATTCTGCTGCAACATGGATTTTTCTTTCAGATTAATTGAATTTAGAATGTTGATTTTTGAAAACTATTATTTAATTGTGACCATATTTGCATTTTTTTTTTTTTAAATTTAATTATATTTCCAGTTAAAAAACACTATGTTTTTCAAAATTTCTTCTTAAATGTTACCTTATTTACAGGTCAATAATACTGTGCTTTTAAAATTAAGATTTCTGTATTAATTAATTTTTGTACTAAGTTGCAAGTAAAATCTATGATTATTTACAATTTTACAGTGAGAGTCTATTAATAAACTAAGTTACAATGATTTAAAATTAATATTTACAAATTATTGCTTATGTCTAATTTTTATACTATTGTATCCTAAAATTAAAATTTGCATAGTAAACCTTCCTCTACTGAAATTTTGTTTTTACAAAATGTAATATTTGACTTAATTTGTATTAAAAAGTGATTTTGCTTATTGAAAAGAAAAAATTATATTTCTTTAGAAAGTTTGCAGTGTATAGCTGTTCAAGAGCAATCTGTGCACATGCGTCGTCATTGCTATGCAGAAGCTGCTGTTTAATAATTTGAAAACAATATTTTTGATTTTACATTATGGATAAGTTGAAAACTCAAAATAAAGTTTTTAAATCTTCGCTAACTAAGCATAAAGATAAAGTAGTCACGTCAATTGACAGTGCAAATTTGATTACTGTCAAACTATTTGTACCAAAAACTAATACATTATCTAACAAGCTCACAAAAAAAAATTTAACTCAATTTTTGATGTTTGTAAGTCCGAAGAAGTTGACGATTTTATAGGGGAGAAAGAAAGTATTGATAAATTATTATTGATAATTAACTTTAAATCAGATAATTCTTATAGTTTTTCGAATAACACTCTACCTGGAGTTCAAAGTGTGCCAAAATTTAGTTTAAATGCATTCTCTGACATAAAGTTACCCTCTCGGTGCCAATGTGTAATGGTAAAATCGACAACTGGATTATGTATAAAGATATGCTTGTAGCCAGTGAAATAAAGAACAGTTCCATTTCAAATTCTATAAAATTAGAATTTCTTAAAGTGAGTTTTACTCATGAAACCCTAAGAGTAATACAATCAATTTCTATTTTGGATGCAAACTTTGAAATTGCATGGAAACTTTTAAAAGATAGATATTCAAATAAAAGAGAACTTTTAAATGCCATTATCAAAAAAATTTTGAATCACCCAAACATTTATGAAACACCTAGTAACATCTTATACTTAGTTGATGTTACAAATGAGTGCACTCAAATTTTGAGTTCATTAAATTATAAAGTAGAACATTCATTTGAAATTATGATAGTGTTTTTAATCGTTGAAAAATTAGATATTTCAACTTGTTATTATTAGGAAAAAGAATTTAAAGATTCTGACAAGTTTGTTACTTTGGAGCAGCAACTTAATTTTTGCAGAACCATGCAAGATCACTTCAAATTAGTAAAAATAAAGAAGTTATAAAAAAAATGCTAATTTATAATTCCAACATAAGGTTACAAGCATGATAGCTACATCAAATATGAGATGCCTAAACTCTAAGTGTATCAAATGCAGCAAAGAAGAATTCCACCAATTGTACAGTTGTCCAGAATTCAAAATTCTTTCCATGAATGATGGATATGATTCTGTAAAAAGAAGCCATCTTTGTTTTCAAGAAAACATACATTACTTGATATTAAGAATGGCAAACGAAATAGTCATGATGAGGCCCGATTGGAGTCTAATTTCTCGAGTCCAGAAGTCACTGAAACTAAAGTTAAAGTGCCAGGAAACCTCAACCCGAATGCAACTAGTTTTATGCGATCAACACATTTTCACCAGTTCAGCAAGTTTATTTAAGAAACAACAGTCACATAAAAACGACAGGTTTTTTTTTTTTTATTAAAAATTATTTTGGAGAGTTGAAACGAGCCAGAGCATTATAGATATAGGACCAATGTCTTCATTCATCACAACTGAGTTTGCTGATTTATTGAAAATTGGGAAGAAAAAAATTTTATATTGTGTTTTCTGGTTTGAACAATGCAAAAATAAATGTGAATTCAAAGATTTGCTAAATTATTTCAAATAACGCCAGTTTTGAAAAGCAATTAGAGCTTTTATGTGTGCGTGAAATTTCAGATGCAATACCAGTTAATTATATTCTAATGCCAGTTGAGTTCTTTCCACAAAATATCAAACTTACTGATCCCTATTTTTATGAGTCTGGGAAAGTCAATATCTTATTAGGGGCCGGAATGTTTTACAAACTCTTAAAATTTGGTCGGGTTGAAGTAACAAACTATTAATTAAATTTCCAAAACTATGTTTTTGGATTTATAGCCACTGGAAGTATCTCAAGTTCAGTTGACCAATCCAAGCAGAAAACTCATTGCGGATTAGTTTATGACTGCAGTGAAATAGGAAAACATATTAAAGAGAATCGGAATCAAAGATGACCGTAATTACTATGAGACAGGCCAATCTTTTGCACAGTTTGAAAATACTGTATGCTACAAACATAACTGCTATGAAATTGAATTACCTTGGAAACGAGATTAAAGGGACTTTAGCGATAATTATGCAGTAGCCTAAAGGAGTGGGCATTGGTGTGCAGACTCAACTGGGATCCAAATATATATACTTACAATATTGTGAAACATTAAATGACTATGTGAATAAGAACATAATAGAAAAAGTGTCTAATCCTAGAAAATCCAAAGATTAACCCTTGCATTACATACCACATCAACCAGTGTTTAAAGAAAATTTTACTACAAGAAGGAGGGTGATATTTGATGCAAACTCAAGTCATAATTTTCACCAGATGATCCTAAATGATTGCCTTTGGCAAAAGCCAAATCTAAATTCAAGCATTTTTAATGTACTTGTAAATTTTTTACTCAACAAAATCGATTTCATGTCATGTATAGAGAAAACCTTCTTACAGATATCTTTAACTGAGAAAGACGAAGATGCTATGCATTTCTTACGGTCGGAAAATGGCAATGCTCAAGTTTACAGATTTAATAGAGTCCTTTTCAGGGTAACATCTAGCCCGTTTCACCTTTCTGCTATTTTAAAAATACCGCGATTTATACCCGACCACGACTGAACTTTTAGAGCGATGCTTTTATGTGCTTGACTTTGTTTCTGGCGATGATGATTTCCGGAAGCATTTAGAATTTCTAGGCAGGCGATATCTATTAAGAGCCGATCTAGCATGGTACCTAGAAAGTGGACTACTAACAACAACCCCTTGATGCAATTAGGAGACGTGAAGGATTTGATACTCAATTGCACAAGCCCTCTTCTGATTCAGGAGTCCTGATTACAAAGGTTTTGGGAATATTATGGAAAACAATAAGTGATTGTCTTATTGTAGGAATTCAAAGCCTAATAGAGAGTTAATCAAAAAAGGAGATTACTAAAATATTTTTACTGTGAGCAGCTGGAAAGGTATTAAACCCTCTCTGCATGGTTATTACTCCATTTACCATTCATGTAAAATGCATTCTTTAGTCCTTGTGTTAAAGAAAATACTTCTGATGAAGAATTACCTTCTGATGTTCAAAAGATGTGTTCCCAGTGCTATTCTGAAGTTCCCCGTCTTTCTGAATTTAAAATTATTAGAAATGTTCTCAATTCATCTACAAAACATTCAACTGATATCATTGAACTTCACTATTTTAGTGATGCTAACCACTATTTTAGTGATGCTGAAAGGTGTATGGAGTTGCCATATATTTAAGAAAGACAGAATCATCGAAGTAAACCTTCTAGTTTCAAAGGGTTGATTCCTGTAAAGAAATCACTTCACCAAGATTAAAATTGCTTGGTGTATTGGTTGTTGCCGGACTGACCATGAAAGTGAAGACAATAGTAGACCATAAAAGACCTTCAACTGTGAATTTAGACTGACTCTAAAATTGTCCTCTACTGTATCAGGGGCTCAAGTAGGCGATGGAAATCTTTCGTTGCCAATCGAGTAAGTGGAATCCATGACCTTAGTAATGTTGAAAACTGGGCTCATTGCTCCGGAACACAAAACCCTACCAATCTTCTAGGCAGAGGTGTCAGTGTTAACATTCTATTGAATAATGGCATTGACCACCATTTTTGAAAGAAAAGGTTATTGACATTCCACATGTAGATAATGAAACTTTAATTTCCTTAGGTGAAATTTGTGGTGAACTGACGAAAACAAATGAATGCTCATTTACTTTTAGTACTTTTAACTAAAATGCAATAGTCAATGATATACGTACATAAAGTAATAATTATTTAACTATTATTCATGTTGTGTGTTATATACTTAGGTTTATTAATAATGCTAAGGGTAAAGAAAAGATTACAGGTCACCTTTCCTTTAAAGTGTTAAGAAAAGCTGAGATGTATTTTATTCAACAAGATGAGTTTGTTGGAGAAATAAAATATCTCATGAAAGGTGACTGTTCCCAGAAGTAGCAAGGCAAATCTTTGAATTGATTTTTAGATGGTTGTAATGTTTTTCGAGTTGGAGATAGATTAAAAAATTCTGAATTAAATACATATAAAAAGCATCCAATAGTTCTTCCAGATAAACATGCCCTTACACTTATTTTTCTAAGATATCACTTAAAATGTTTGCATGTTGGATCTAATTCATTATTGTATCACCTTAGATGTATAAAATTAAGTACATATATAAAAGCATCCAATAGTTCTGCCAGATAAGCATCCCCTTACACTTATTATTGTAAGATATCATGTAAAATATTTGCATGCAGGATCTAATTCATTATTATATCACCTTAGACGTAAATTTCAGATCATAAATGTTTAAAATGTTTGTAGAAAGATTTTTTCTATGTATAACATGCTTTACGAACAAGCCTGTATTCGAAAGTCAAACGCAAAGAGAGAGTCACCCCCTCTTTTCCTCTATATAATGTTGAAGCAGACTTTTGTGGTCCCTTTTACATTAAATTTAGAAACCAGAGAAAGGGAATACTAAATAAAATATTTGCAAGTATATTTGTATGTTTAAACACAAAAGCGATTTATTTGAATTTTGTGATTATTGCTTGTTTAAAATGTTTTTTTTAGTCTCAAAGGCGAATGTTTAAAATTATACAGGACAATGCACATGAAATTAACGAACTTTATAGGGACATGTGTGGAACTTAAAAAAATTCATAGTATGGTAAAACATCGATATAAAATTTTTCCTCATTTTCTTTCTAGTAAAAATATTGAATAGAATTTTATACCCCCTATATCACTGAATTTTTGTGGTCTTTGGGAGGGTAAGATCTTTTAAATATCACCTAAAATGCATTATCCGTAACACTAATTTGAATTTAGAAGAATTTCTCACGGTTGTCCTAAAACTTGATAATGTTTTGAATTCTCATCCCTTTATCTGCTGATTTTTAAAACTTTGAACCCTTGTCATTTTTTAATAGGGAGACTTTTGTCTTCAATTGGTGAACCTCAACTCGTTGAGTTACCAGAGAACAGACTTTCTAAATGGCAAAAAGCAACGAAGTATAGTTCAACAAATTTGAAAACTATGAAAGAGGAACTATTTAAATATTTTACAACAACGTTCTAAGTAGATGTGTACAAAGAATAATGTTAAAGTTGGTTCACTTGTATTAATCAAATATGAGCATATGCAAAGTACTAAATGGCTAACACGAAAAATTGCTAAAATAATTTGTGGTAAGGATAGAAAAGTAGGTGTATTAAATATCCTGTTACTAAATGGTAAAATTTTGTAACAAAATGTTAGAGATATATGTGTGTTTTCTACCGATTGTAATTAGATATTGTAATGCATATGTAGAAATCATTTAATTTTTAGTATTCAGATTATTTAAAATGTGTTTTAGATATGTGTATGTCGCATAAATATTATTGTCTTTAATTTTAAGTGTTTGTATTTGTGTTGAAACTACGTTGGGTTTCAAGACTAGGAGTGTGTTTCAGAGCAAACAGTGTGCATTCGTTGCTATGGTAACAGCTACTGTTTAATAATTTGAAAACAATATTTTTTTAGAACTTTTATTTTCATTAAGTTCATTATGCATTGATACTTTAGTGAGTTTACTCTTGAATTCTAGGACCTGAGAGATCTTACAAAATACTAATAAAGTTGTTAATAAGAAGAGTTTCATCACTTGAACGATGTTGGAGGAGAAATTCAGTATCAAAAATGTAATCTAGAACTTTACAAAAATTAAAAATCTCAAAAAGTCTGGGAATTTTATTTCTAAAATTGAGTTCAAACCTTGTAACCCTAATTTATAGTTTAACATAATAAGTTCTAAAGAGAAATATTTTCTGATTCTATGTAGCATAAAATTTTTTTTCTTCTGAAATTTATTAGTAAAGGTATTAGATAGAGGTATAGTATCTTTATATGCAATGTGACCGATGCCTGTAATTTGTTTAGTTTTTACTTTGCCATCTATCCATTACTCATTATTACTGCACAGTTAATTGATGAAAATTACACTTTTAATCATTCGTTCATTTTTGATAAAAGTTTCAACTTGTTAATTAGAGACTCAAAGTTCATTTAGGTTAAAAACTGGTCATAATTCAAGATGAATGCTTCTGTGTTAATTAATATGTCCTTCTAAGTATTACCCAACATAATTTACATTGTGTTCATTTGACTGTTCTCTAAGATGCTTTTGTGTCTTTTCCTATTTTTTCCCCATTTTCATCAGGTTTCATTGAATCAATTCAGTTTGATTTAAATCAAGTGATTTGTTTAAATAAATCATTAGTTTAAATTGATTTTTTTAAAGAGATTATTGATTAGTCAGTTCGTATTTTTAAAGTATATTAATTTTTACAGTATTAAAATTTATTGTTGTGTTCAATTGCTGTGTTCATAAATTTTAGTTAGCAAATTTACATTAAAACTTAATGTGTAATTAATAGTAAATCACAGAACTTATGAAATTTCATTTTAAAAATCTTAAAATTCTTTTGGATCAGAAACAAGGAGAAAATATGTTGTTGTTTTTTATACATATTTATGCATCTGCAAAAAGTAGTTATTAAACATGAATTGTTTTGCAAAAACATGATGAGGACAATCTTATTGAATCCTGATTTTAAAACAAAATCTTCACAATAGCATTTTATTTTACAATTGCAGTTTTTGTATCTTAAAGTATGTTGAAAGAAAAATATCATAATTATACTATAAAAAAATTAGTTTAAAAGATTGCCTATATATTTAGCTCAATTTCTTTAATTAATGGGGTAGTTTTTTTTTCCACAAAAAATGTGATAACCTGCAATTAATCTTTCTAAATTTCGTCACTTCAAAAATTTAAAAGGAAAAAAAAAACAAATACGAAATAAATTTTGTGATTTGTATTTTTTAGCCTGTTGTTTAGTAAACAATAATAAGACATTTCTTTTTCGATTAACTTAAATCATGCATTTGCATGCATTATATGGAACTATCAACAAAAACAATTTAATTCAGTAGTACAGTTCGAAATGCATTGTAATTATTTATGTCTAATAATATTTCAATTAGAATTATATTTACTAAGTGTACTTAATTTAAGACTTGCAATTTGATTAGAGAGCTTTCTCAAATACACAGATATGTGACCAATAACATCAGTGCTAGCTGATCATTAATGAACAAGATGATGTGTTAAAGTCAAGCTTAGTCTCTCCACATAAGTTCGAATGTTAATTAGTGGAAGTTAATTAGATACAATGCCGTATTGTACATCGAATTTATTAAAATATAATTATTTCTCTTCTACGTCTTTTACTTAACTCAGATTTATTATTTGTTTGTGTATTTTATTGTCTATGATATACTTTTGTTTTGAGTACCTGGCAACTTCGATGCATAATTAGTTCATGACTTCATGCCTGTCTTTGTGCTAAGTTAGGAATATATACTAAAAGAATTAAAATCTTGGTTTAAAAATAAAAAAAATAGAATGTGTCGCTTAGGAGAATTGATATTTGACAAGCCTGGCTTACTTGAAAAACAGTGAAACCTCCAGAAAAGACCACCTCTGTGTAGTGACCTCTATTTATGACCACTTTTGGGAGGCCCGGAATGTTTTCTATTCACTTTGTGTTTAAGAAAACCTTTAGATGAACCAAAACGTCTCCCAGCTACCGCCGAACCTCTGCACCAAATGCAGACAAAGAGCAAATGAGGTAGCACAAAAAATATTAACAAAACAAATAAGTAGATTTGAGGCTCTTATTTAGAAAACTCTTTTTGATGAGGTTGCAGTCAGAGTGCACTAAACACTATGCTATAAATGATTTATTATTGGAATTGAAAGTTAAATTAGATAAAAAGTTATTTTAGAAAAAAATTTAAGCATCTCAAACAAACCTATCCTCGTCTTTCAAAGCTAACTATTTTTTTATTTTAACTTAACAAACAAATGCAAACTTAAACAAAAAAAAAAAAACATTTTTTTATTTATTTGAAATATTTCTATCTTTCATGAATGGTAAATTTATTTTTACATATAATTATATCAGTAGGGATCATTGTTGTTGACACTAAATGTTATTCATCAATCCAGTTTTCATGACCCTTGAAACCAGCTGCATTTCTTAGTTAAAAAAAATGACACTGACTGAAATTAAAATCGTTAGCAAAAAAATCATGTATCTTCAATAGCATTTTGAAGTCAATTGAGGTAACCCTTAAGAATGACCAACTTCTCTTAACAACCATTTTATTGTGGAACAGAGAGTGGTCATTCCCGAGTGGTTTCATTGTAAAATAGAAAAAACAATTGATGATTTAAAAAAAATGCCACGGTTCAGCAATCAATCTTTTGAAAGTACCCCATTACGAACTTTTAAAAAAAAAAAAAATCACAGACCCTGATTTTTATTTTGACTTTAAAGTTCTTACAAAAATATTGTATTTTATTTCTTTTAGTGATATCATCTAAAACAATACAATCAATGGTAATTAATTTGTTTTAAGTTAGGAGGAGGTTAAATGATCTGCTCATATCATTAAATAGTTTTATTTGCTTTTGTAGCCTTAGAACTAATTTTGAATTAATTTTTAGGAAATGCAGCAGCTGGAGTGACTGTTTTGACTTCTCGTTCTGGTGATACACCAAGGGAAAGTTCAATATTCACTACAGCATCTAGTCAAGCAAATCGTGGCAGAGCATCACCTGTAAGTTAAAGTGAAAGCATTTTTATCTTAATTTTTTTAAAAACTTCAACTGTTTTGAATTCTTTAGAATGGGGTTAAAATTTGCAAATGCAGTGAACTCCCACTACAATGATATCCAATATAACAACTTCCTCTACTACTATAATATTTCGTGGTCCTGATGAATTTGTGTATCAATTAATGTTTTTTCTTCTCAATTTTATAATATTCTCTAAACAATTAAATCCATATAAAAAAAATTATCCTTATGAATTTAAATTTTCAACGTTAGTTTCTCTCTTTAAAATATTTTGATATTCAAATTCAGAAAAACATTCTTATTTTATCTTTTGCCATTTTTTTCCTCTTTTTCTGGCAAAAAAAGACTTACTGTTGATTTCAACTTATTCCTTTCACTTAATCGAACTTATTCCTTTTCACTAATATAAGAATGACTTTTTCTCAGATTTCAATATAACTCCATCCTTCATATCGGTGGAGATCATCCATAGAACTTCCCATTGGGAATGCCTTTCTTATCTACTTAGAAATCACTGTTTTATTGTCACTGATTTCATTTTATTCATGTTAAAACCTGATCATGAGTCTAGAATTAACACACACATAACATTAACAACATACTTTTAGCGTGTAATATTGGACGATTCTTTGAAAGTTCTTTCAATTTTAAAGTCTTCAGCGTGTTTGATATTTTTTTTTTTTAAACAAAACACTTTGTTTTCCATTTTTTTTTTATGAATGTATTTTTCCCTAAAATTGCAGGATACTGTTATAATATAATGCTTATAACATTAAAATGTAATTAAAATAAAATGCATTCCTAAAATATGTTAACCCTTAATGCAGAAATATATACCTCTACAAAGATACATTTATTTAATCCCCAAGATATTGTTGTTACAAGGTTTTAGTAATAAATAATTAGACCTAATTTTGATTTTGCAACTACTAAAGTTCAGTTTTGTAGCCCTGTAATTTTCACTCAATCCAAAAGACAAGAAAACTCCTGCATCAAATATTGGGAGAAATTTGCCTTCATGGAGGACTTTGTGATGGAACTAACGCATGTTTGCACTACATGTAGAGGAGAACCATGTAAACCTTCCATGGTTACCCTGATAGCAAGGGGACTCTAACCCATGATCCGTCTACCACTGAGAATATTTTATATCAGCACTGTAGTTGGTGCGAGCCAGTATCAACCAACCATCGTTGTAATACAAACCACGGTCACTCTCTATCCCCTGAGCCACCACGCCCTTATCATATATGATTTTATTTTAATTTTATAACCGTTGTTGAACAGCCGACTCAATTTTAGTGGTTTACGACTACTAATATTCAACTCCATAGGCTTGTAATTTTGTAACCAATCCAGAAGACAAGGGAACTCCTGGATTGAGTATTGGGGCAATTTTGCCTTCGTGGAGGACTTTTTGATGGATCTAACCTACATTTGCATTACATGGAGAGGAAGACCACGAGAACCTCTTACGGTTAGCCTGATGGCAAGGGGACTCTAACCCTTGATCCGTCTACCACTGAGGATATTTCACGCCAGCACTGTGGTCGGTGCAAGCCATATGCGGAATTCGTCTCTACTGGGATTCGAACCCGGTTCGCCTCAATGGAGGGCGAACGCTCTATCCCCTGAGCCATCGCGGCCCTAATCATATATGATTATAACTTTCATTGCTTTGCATATTAAGTGTGTTAGTATTAAGTAACATTAATTAAAACAAAATTTTTAGCCTGATGTTCCTTCAAGCACTCAAGTACCTCCTTCTCAGGGCAACTTACCTCCGAGGCCAGGTTTTGCAACGGGCAACAGCTCAATGAGATTTATGCTGTCTGTAAGTAAAGATTTTCAGTTTAAGCATATCGTTACAGAACCTGATATATTAAAAAAGTAATCAGTGTTGAAAATACTAAAAATTATTTATGGGAATTATTTATCATTCAATTATTTATCATTCTTTTGAAGTGAGTTTTATGTAAAAGAATAAGCAATCTATCGTGTAGCTGTAAATGCCGTCGACTATGCAAACGGAGATTCATATATACTAAATACAAAATAATGTCTAAAATCACAAAAAAATAAGTTGATATTTGAAAAAAATTAATCAAAATTTAACCATTTAATGTTAAAAAGCTTAAACAAGTAATATTTTTTTTAAAGAAAATATTTGTAATAGCACTCACAATTAAATCAGTAAACACAAATAACTCAGTGTGCAATTATTATGAAAAATTCGTAAAACAGTAAAAGCTGTAATAAGAAATAAGCCCGCATAATTTTTCTCTTAAAGGTATATTTCTTTATTTAAAAAGTCATAAATCATATTGAAAAATTAATTCTTATTGAGGTTTATGTAGATTTTAAAATTATGAATGAAATTAAAATAAGTGTTATAATTTTTTTTTTTTTTTAAATTAAGTATCGAAAACTTCTATTTTTCTTGTACTGTATTGAATTCTATTTGTTTAAATTTAAACTATTCTTTTCATAGTTATTGCCAAATGATAGTATTATAATTATTAATTTTGATTTCTTCCATTTTCTTCTCTTTTTCCTTTCTTATCATTTAAAAATAAAGAATAATTTTTTTCTAACATATATTGCTTTCTGTTTTACAGAATATAGGGCTAGCCAATAAGACAATTGCTGAAGTTTTCACTGGGATCAGAGATTGTGACTTAGGTGAGCTTGCTCTTGTATTTTAATTTTTGTAAAAATATTTTTCATTTTAATTTGTACTGTTGTAAGAAAGAAAAAGAGCCATAATGAATGTCATAATGAAATATTCATCAGAAGGTTATTTTGTTATGTTTCATTTATAAATATACCTACTTTAAGGATATTACCTAATATGAAAACAAAAAATATTTTTCCTGAATGTTAAAACTTGGGTAAGCGAATAAATATTATTAATATTTTGATAAATGATTAATTTAAGTCACTTGTGCAATCCCTATTAAATCACTTAAAAAATATATATCAGCTGTTTATTTTACTAAATTTCATTTTTCCTTTCCACAAACAATTAAGATTTTCTCTTTTTAAACTTATAACTTTAAATAATAATATTGGTGGGGATCATTATTTTAAGCCAAGGAGTAACATGAGAAGATAAATAGATATTAAGTTCATTTAAAAAAAAATTTTTAAAAATTTATTGATCAACAATAACAGATTAACAATTTATCAGTTGATGTCATTCTTTGTATACATAATTTTTGTTCAATATGACGTTTAATTTATTGGCTGTATGTCAAACAAATTAAATAATCACTTAATTTTCCTTTCCAAAAGTGAATTATTCAGTGTGTGTAAAATATTAATAATTTCAAAGCTACTTAATCCTTAATTGGAATATTTTGAATGCATATTTTTCTTCATTTAAGAATTTGTGTAATTTATAATTACTTTGCAAAAATTGCAAGCTCTGATTTTGCTACCTTTCTGCATAAAGTTAAGCAGTTAAGGATTATGTAACCAACACACCAAGGATTATATCAATAAGTAGTGTTTTAATATCTTATTTACATTTACTTTTAAGGAAACTTTTATATATATTAAATAAGGTATGTCATGTCGTCACTACCAAAAAAAGTTTTAAAAAAAAAATTTCCTTCCATTGCTTTAAATATTAACATACTAATTACTTGTTAAATCTAAAATGGCCATTAAAATCTGTGATCCCTTTTCGGAACCAGTCTCTGTTTAACCAGATGTTGTAGAATTCTTTGCTCTTATTCTGATTCCTCTGGCTGACTTATATAAATCCTGGTCAGCTGCCTTGAGCAGTTGTTAGCATACTTCAAAGGACAATTGAAAGAAAAAGTACACATTGGAATAGCATTCATACACTGTCTTATGGATAGTATCAACTTCATTTAGTAATGATCAGAGGCAGTAAGTCGAAATTTTGAAGGCTGAGTGAACAGTGCAAATATTTACGATGTCAAAATAACAGGCATCGGTTGACATCAAACTAACTCATAAAATTAACTATTATTGTGGACCTGATATGCATTGTTCAACTAAAAGAAATCAGTAATCAAGAAATAGTAACAAAATGTAATATTTTTAATTGCAAATTTTACTAAATAGTGATGCCTCCAAAAATTATATAAAATAAACTGTTGGGAATTTACATTAAAGTTTTTTTTAAAAAAACACAAACAAGCAAAAAAAATGCTTATGAAAGCAAAATAGCAGCTGGCAACTCTGCCATTTAAAGGCATGTTGTTGAGTTTCCATGAGAGGTACATAAAAATAATCCCTGATCAACCTAAGTGTGATTTGTCGATTAACGTCGGTGGTTCGGCACCTTTGATGAGATTTGCAGATCATTAATTACTATCTGAAATACAAAGCGAAAAATAACTTCGCCCTACAAAAACACCCTTGTATTCTTTCATTCCCTGTCAACAAATTAGCCCTGTAATTTTTTTTAAAATTCTTTTCACATATGTATTGTTAAAATTAAGTGGCAATAAAAAGTTCTTATATCTAGTTTGTTTTTCCCTCTCTTTTTTCGAAATTTTTAAGGGATAATTTCTTTATATAAAAGTGATGTATCGATTGATATCAGATACCTAAGACTTGCCTCATTTGCACAATTTTACTGTTAAAAGTTTGCATGATTTTGTAATAATTGCAACCTATCGCAGAGAATTGGACACTGTTTCACTGTAGATCGGAAGCAGCTACACTGTTTCACGTTTGCAACCCATTAAAGCTGTAAGTAAGAACTCATTTTAAGTTTCTTTCCCTTTCTTCCTTTTTTTAAATTTTTGGTTTTTATTTACTTTGAAAAATCAGTAAGTTTAAAGTTGAAGTAATTATTTTTGTTTATAGAAACTGTTTTAGAACTTAAAAACTTTGTTTAAACCTGCTGAAAAAAAAAAAATTTTTTTTTCCTCGTCTCATATCTGGTAGTATGATTAGGATTGAGGAAATTTTAGGTTCTTATTTACTTTGGAAAATCAGTAAGTTTTAAGAGAACTAATTATTTTTGCTCATAAAACTGTTATAGAACTTAAAAACTTTGTTTAAATCTGCTGAAAAATAAATTTAATTCCACGTCTCATTCTCTGTTCTGAAAATTCAAAAAAATTTATTTTTAGTTCCTTTTCTTTTTAAAATTTTGAAACGAAATGAAGTTTTTAAATTATCTGAAAATATGATTAGGTTGACTAGTATGATTAGGATTGATGAAATTTTAGCTTTTTCATTTACTTTGAAAAATCAGTAAGTTGAAAATCAAATCAGATAAGAGAACTAAATATTTTTGTTCATAAAAACTGTTTTAGAAATTAAAAACTTGGTTTAAACCAGCTGAAAAATAAATTTTTTCCACATCTCATTCTCTGATTATCTTCAAAAGTTTCAAAAAAATAAATCCTTACTTTTTTTAAAAAAAAATGTCAGAAAAGAATAAATTTTTTAAATTAGTGGAAAGTATGATGACTAAGAAAATATGAGAAGGGGATAAATATTAAAAGCCCAATAGACTCCTTAAGAGTTGCATAAATCATGTTTTTAATGATTTTGATTTCTTTTTTTTTTTCCTTTTTTTTCACTGTATTAAGTTCTTTTATCTTTTTTTTTTTCCAAATATATTATGGATGCAAATTGCAAGTTTTGAAATTAACAGTTTGCAATTTCCGAACAAAATTATTGCTTAGTTATCTGGTCTTGTACATACACTACTCATGCATTTCTTTTGTTGTAATTACACCAATTTCAAAGAAGTCCTACTTCTAAAGTTAAAGCATTTTATTTAATTTTATGAAACCAATCTGCAGCTCAATCTTCATTCAAATTTATCTGATTCAAATTATCAGACGGACTTTTATTGTAAAAATTAGACTTAATCTAACATGTTTACAGCAAAACTAAAAAATTAGCACATATAAAGTAGATAAAAATTATGAAATGTTATTAAAAATTTATTTTAATTAAAAAAAATTTATAGTAGGGGTGCACAACCTTTATGAGTGAAGGGCCATTTGCACAGCAGGTTGGCTAAAGAAGGGCCGCACATGTATTGAGACATGTTAATGACAAATGTAGTAATGTTTATTTAAACATTAGCATTCTATTTTTTTCATCAATAAACTTAGTAATATATTTGTAAAAAATTAAAGGTGTTCTATTTTTAGAGTTCATTCAAAAATATAAAAAATTTATACTTTCTTTTTACAAAAAAAAATTTCTATTTTTATCATATGAACAATAGATTTATCAAAATGAATAAACATTGAAGAAAAGAAATGTTTTTTNATATATGCTGCAAGACTTCAATTAGTTACATATTTATTTACTTTTTTTTTTTTTTTTTTTAAAAAAGAGCTCATACTTTCAGGAGCATATTTATTGACAACAAGTACAGCAGTGCTTCAGCTATTTTTCAACATAGCCACCACCAGAATTGAGACCCTTGTCGTATCGTGGGATCAACTTTTGTATCACTCTGTCGTAGAACTCTGCCGCCTGTAAATGGAACCAGAGTGTGACAGACGTCTTCAGCTCTTTGTCGTTGCCAAAACGCTCACCAGAGGACAGGAATTTTTTGAGGTGCAAAAAAACATGAAAATCGTTCGGAGCAAGATCAGGGCTGTAGGTGGATGATCAAACAGCTCCCAGCCAAATTTCGTCAAAACAGCTGCTGTGCGTCGAGCCGTATGTAAAAGAGCATTGTCATAGAGGAGCACAACACCTGCAGTAAGCATTCCACGCCTCTTGTTTTGAATGGCACGTCGCAATTTCAGCAGTGTTTCACAGTAACGGTCAGTGCTTACTGTTTCGCAACGTGGTTCCATTCACAGACGGCAGAGTTTTACGACAGAGGGATACAAAAGTTGAACCCATGATACAAGTGTCTCAATTCTATGTTGCTATGTTGAAAAATAGCTGAAACATTGCTGTACTTGTTGCCAAAAAATATGTTCCTGAAAGTATGAGTTCTTTTTTTTAAAGAAATAGGGAAACTTACTTTCTGGATACGCCTCGTAAATTCTAATAAATAAAAAAAACTGCTATGCCCACAGAATGAAAGTAGGAAAAAATTTATCATAATTAAGTCATATAAACTCAAATTAAATATTTTAATTGTAGAAAATTTATAGGTTTTAAACAAAAGCCTAAAATAAAAGCAAAACTGTGATAGTATAGGAAAATAAAATTCAATGCTTATTTTGTAATGTACTTTATTATTTCATTTTATTAATTATTAGATTTTTTAATATCGTAAAAA